TATATATATATATATATATATATACATACATACATACATACATACATACATACATACATACACAGTATATATGAGCTAATGGGGGTTTTAAGTGACATCATTTTATCAGTTTATTCCAGAATACCTAAAGTAAGCATGGCTTTAAGTTATATTTCTGCAAATTAGGTATCTCCGTAAGTTTTGTTAATGTTCATGCTTCAGAAAGACAAAAGTCATATTCGCCATTACAGCTGAATCAGTTGATTGCTTTAGATTGAGAGTATAGAAGCCATAGTCTGGTCTTGATGAGGTGTATAACATTCAGAGGAGAAATGGGAACAAAAAAGTCCCCAATCATACAAGAGTGCAGAGGCAGACTGAGAAGCAGGTTAGCGAAGGAATACATACAAGCCTGCAAAGGAAGCAGTGCATTTCACATGCATGTTACTGGAATAAGCAATAGAATGACAAAAAGTCGAGATCTTTACATTTTACAGCTGCAAATACAAAAGAACATAGATTTGTATTGTAAAGTAATGGATTTAGTTTGATGTAATTCTGTAAATGGTTCCCTTCCCACAACATAATGTGGTAGCAATGATGGCTCATGCCTACATGAGAGTATGAAAGAACTGCTAGCATTACATGCAGAGAGTGGTTACTAGACATGTGCACCAGCAAAAAATTTGTTTTGTTTCGATTCCGAATTTGCGTCATTTAGTTTTTCGGGATTCGGGTCCGAAATTGAATTCATTTCGGGATTCGGATGAAATAAGTTAGCGGTAGTCCGGTCGACATTTCTTTTCGTTCGTTGCAGCAAAGTGACATTGGAAAAAAAAAAACGTTTTTTTTCTAATGTCACTTTGCTGCAACGAAATTTTGTCAACAAACGAAATTTCATTCAGACTACCGCTAACGAATTTCGGGAAATCGGAGATTCGGATTCGTTTGCATTCGGTATTTCTGTTATTCGGATGCATCCGAATGTCCGAATTTCGATTCGGAACGAAACGAATCGCACATGTCTAGTGGTTACTCATGATAGGCAGTGGAAGTAGGAGAAAAAAGGGAGCAGTTACAGAATATTTACCAGGACAAAATGTTTATATTCTGAAAGTGATCCCAGCAAGTGTGAATGATTGTGCTTTCTAAATCTCAAAAAGGAAAGAATCCCCCTCCACCTCTTGGTATAAGCAACTTTATAAAATAAAAATTAGCCTTTTCCCTTAAAATGAAACTAGTCTCCAGAGTGCACCATAGAGGCTGTCAGCCCCATAAGAGTCATCAGAAAACATTCAGGAATGCCCACAGGAATGAACATGGGATAAAAGAGAAACAACTTAGTCATCTATTGTGGATAACCCAAACCGTGAGAGGCCAGGTATTATAGTTGCTGGCACTTAAATCCTGCTCAAGAGGCAGATTGTTGCAAGAACGTAGTAAACCCTTGAAACCCAAACACAGCAAAAGGAAATGAAGAAGCATATAATGGGTAGAAACTGAGCCAAGGAAAATAAAGCATTCCAATGTAAATGGCTATGACTGTAAGCAAAGCTTCTATGCAATTAGGCATGTAAAACATATGCCTGAATGAAAGCAATCGCCTGGATAAAAGGACAGTAATTGCCCCAGCACTAGTAAGACAATTGTCTTGTTTTAAAACATGTCATGTATTGATTCATTTTCATTGCTAATGTCTACAGACCTCTAATTGCCAAGTTTATTAAACAAATACCATGAAGCAAAGCACAAACACACCTAGCCAGCACGCTGGCTAAGTGATGAGCACTTCAGCCATATAAAACTGAGGGAATGCATTTTATTTTGTCTATGGACATTAGCTTCACAAAGTTTTCTTTTACCCATGTCTCTTTTGCTTTTGTATATTTGCTTGGGTTTTCTCCCACTACCCGAAACACAAATTGATAGATTTTTGGTGTCTGGCCTAATTGTTCTTTCTCTGCATTTCCTATGCAGAAGAAAGGACTGGTAATCTACTTTTGCATCTCTGTCTTATAAAGAAATCCAAAGGTTAGTTTAAATAGGATAACTATTCAAACATTTATCATTGGTCAACACCCCAATGTACTACAGATGACAGATAAATACAGTACATATACATACGGATAACAATTTATTGTAGTAATGAGTTCCCTTCATAAACCTATTCCTTCACTATGACCACACTGTACAATCTATAAAATTACCATCAACAGCGGTGTCATTGAACACATTGTTGTCATCTGCAAAACTTCGCGTTCCACTGATGTTTCCATAGTCAAATATTGGGCCTTCCAACAATGTCACAATGTCTATTCGGTTGATCTTCGTCAGGACATTGGTTAAGGCATCAGCTTAAAAGAAAACATAAATATGTTATTTTGCATGTAAAGTGAATGAGATATAGATGAAACAGTACCCATACATTTTTAATTCATTGAATGCATGTTGAATTTTATTGCAAGTACTGTATAATGCTATCTGCACACATTTTAAGGTATTATTGCAGAGTTTACCATAAAGTAATTTTTAGTATGATTTTCACCTTTTCACAGCCTTGCTCTAGGTAGTTTATTGTTTTTTTTTTTAATTTAAGTTCAAATTAAGCACAAGAGACCAGGAAGAACACCAAACCAAATAACATGCGTCAAACAGAATATAAACAATGTG